TATCTGTGGATTCATCTATAAATTAACTGTATGGTTGATCTTTAATGTCGTTTTTTATAAGTTCTTTGTTTTTTTTTCTCTTTATTAGGAATAACAAACAATTGTACAATATAATCTTATTATTAAACACAATACTATATTTAAGCTTAATAATCATACAATCAACACCGTTATCCACATATTACCACTGGGTCTATGTACATAACAATTAAAAATTAAAATATAATGTTCTATTAAAAACGACCCGTTCACCAATAAATACAGAGAAAAACAAGCTAATTTACACATATGCATGTACATGTGCACGCATATACATACACACATATATACAAACATATTCATACACGCACATACACATATATAGATAATACACAGATGTGAAAAATTAAATTTAACCTAATTAAGCAATTACATTAACTTGCATCAAATTCAGATAGAATCTCATACACAGCTTTTTTATATCTAGAAGAAGTTAATCCAAAGATATCTAGTATTAAATTTGTTGTTGTATAATTCCATTATACGATTTAGAGGTGCACGTGCACCTGCATTTGTTTTACTTGGTTTTGGAGCGAAAATTTGATGTGAATGTAGCTCACGTATACGATTCGAGTGACTAGGTATACGAATGTATATTTGATTGGTAAGTTCATTACAAGCAAATTCGTTATGGCAGATTTTGTAAAGCAAAGTTTGATCCAAGAGCATCCTTCTCGATTCTAAAGAAAGAACACTAAATTTTCTTAATAAAAGTTCATAACATTCATTATAATTACTTTTAAAGCATTTGTACATTGTAGATTTTAAAAATTTTCGTTGAACACGCTCCAACTGTAAACTGATGCATATTTAACCTGTGATCTTATTAGAGATTTATATAAAGTTAAAAATGTGGTGGGATGTTTGAAGGAAGAACATGTCCGCATAACAAAACCATAAAGCTGAAAGGCTTTATTGGTTATGTGCGTTACGTGTTCATCAAAGTGTAGTTTAGAGTCTAAATACAATCCTAGATCCCTGATTAAAGATACCGATTCCAACGAAACACAGTTTAGTTTATAAGTGTATTTAATAATGTTAATTTTTTTTTGTGAAAGTGATATGTTTGCATTTTGATGTACTTAAGTGAAGTTTATTTTTTATACAGTAGCCTTCCAAGCGATTTAGGTCTTGTTGTATTTTGTCACAATCTTCGACACTTTTGACACTGTGATAAATTTTAAGGTCATCGGCGTAAAGGAGAAAGTTAGTAAAACGGAAACAATCACCGATATTGTTTACAAATAATATAAAAAGCAAAGGCCCAAGAATAGAACCTTGCGGTACGCCTGAGCTGATATTTATGATATTGGATGAGAAACCATTAATAACAACCCGTTGAGATCTGTTTAGAACGTATGATGAAAACCATCTTAACAAGTTTCCTCGTATTCCATTAAACGCTAATTTCGCTAAAAGTATATTATGATCAACCTTATCAAAGGCCTTAGAGTAATCAGTGTAAATTGCATCTACTTGCAGACGGTTATCCATGCAGCGAAAAAGATAATTTGTGTAAAGAACAAGGTTAGTTGTTGTCGATCGCTGTTTTACGAATCCTTGTTGTTCAGGTATAATTATGTTATGTAATATAGGATAAATTTGCTTATGTATTAACCTCTCAAGAACCTTCGGTATGGTTGATAGCAAAGATATAGGGCGGTAGTTAGAAACGTCGTTTTTGCACCCACTCTTATAAACTGGTGTTATATTAGCGTTCTTCCATATCTGGGGCACAGTCCCTTCACTAAGACATTGGTTAAATATAAGACACAAGGGAACACTAATAGCTGCGGCAGAGTGTTTGAGAAAAAATGGTGGAAGGCTGTCAGGTCCAGGTCCCTTGGTAATATCGAGTAATATAAGCTCTTTGACTATGCTATCCTGGGAAAAGGAGATATTTGAAATAACCTCAGAATTGGGATTAGTAGACTGGCTACTATAATTCTCTTGCTGTAACTGCTGTCAATTTTCATATACGGAGCTGAAAAATTCAGAAAATAATTCACAGATACCCTCAGGCGTATCAGATTTTTTATTAATATAAGTCATTACGTTAGGTATTCCGCTTTTACCTTTTCGATTATTAACAAAGGACCAAAATAATTTAATGTCCTTTTTAAGTCCTTCTTCGATGGAATTATTGTAAGTATTGAAGCAATCAGCACACAGTGTCTTAAATCTGTGTCGAAGCAATGAAAACTGGGAATAATCCGCTTTGTTATTATATTTTTTCCACCTTATCCAATATTTTTCTTTTTCTTTAAAAACGTGAATGAGGGGTCGAGAAAACCAAACTGGAAAGTTATTACTTTTTGATGAACGAAGCGGTACGTATTTTTTAATAATTTCATAGATTTTTTCATAAAATATATTAACTGACTCTTCAGCAGTTAGCCCTTTCATAAGAGAATACCAATTGATCTCAGAGATTGATTTACAAATGGTAGGATAGTTTGCTTCTAAATATTTAAACCTCTGAAAAGACGAGTGAGCCATAGATTTATATGTGTGGCTTAGAGATATAACCGTGTGGCAGTAACGGGTTTGAAGGCAGCTCACAAACACAATTATCGTCGTTAGATAAAAACAAGTCTAAAATTCGGCCCAAGGGGTTTCTATTGGTGTTTAATTGTTTGAAGTTTAATGATGATATAAAATTCAGCAGTGATTTGTCATTACTGGTAAGGTTGGGGTAAGAAGGTGTAGATGTTATATTTGATACCGTTTGACCACTGCCCAGCCATTGTAGATTGGGAAGATTGAAATCACCAACAACGTACACGTGCTGATAATTAATTTCCATAATTTTGTTACATAAGGATGTTAAAAAACTGTCATATGTTAAAGCGTTCATATTAGGTGGAATATAGATACCGCAGATAATAGTACTATGACCCTTTTGACTATTAAGACTGAGAAATACATAATCAATACAAGGTGAAATAGGATAGTCGTATGAACCTATTAGTTCGTACCGAGTAATGGACAACCCTCGACGCACTGCAATCAAAACTCCACCGCCGTCCCGTTTACCTGTCAAGACTCGTTCTCGGTCGCAACGATGTACTACATATCTATCATCTATGAATTCCCTGTCTCGAATATTCGGAAGTAACCACGTTTCACTTAATATAATAAAATCATAACTATCTGATAATATATTTGTATACAGAGTATTTAGTTTGGTTCTTAAGCCCCTACAGTTTTGGTAATATATTGCAAAACGATCAGTCATCATCTTTGTTTATTTTTAATACATAAGTATTACTTACACCTATTAAAAAGAGAAAGAAACAAAAATAAAAGAGTAGAAAAAATACGAGTATAAATAAAGTAACAGACATACTGAGACTAATGCATTCTATTCTTTTCCAATTCAACAAGAAAAAATATGGCCGATTGTGTATAACAACTGTTACATTACTAAAATTTACACAGTTATATTTATTACGTAATGAAATAGTATTTCATAATTTTGTGTTTCGTATTTGTAAATCGCATCGTGTAGTATGTAAATTCCCGTAAAAGAAATAATTTTAGTTTTCATTATAAGTAAGTAAAAATAACAAATATTGCTTAATGGTTTAAAAGTGTGTTCAACAAACAAAAATAATAAATTAATAACGCTCGTTAGGTATGTTAGACAGTGTAACTTGCAAATATAATTAATACGCTTTACAACATATATACGAGTATTATAATTATTGCTGTTAATTTGACAACAAAGTATTTTTAAAATAGAATATTGTTTGTAAAATATCGTAAGTAAATTCTTTGAGTAACAAATAAATTGCCGGTAGAAAAATAATAATTCATAGCGCAAGGCAAAGAAGTGTAAACAATACAGTGTAATGAAATGTTTAGAGATGACACTAAATAATATATTACTTTTTGATAAATACCTTTGAATAACTTCTTCGAAATAACAAGTCAATGCAAATGGAAATGAAATACTAGTTTCAGCTGTGTACAAGTAGCTGTAAAAATTAGTTAACTGGACAATTCTTCGATTTGATTTTTGAAAGATCTTCACTAGAACGAATGCTGAGAACAGGAGAAGTATCGTTTGCACGCACCAAGATGCTGCGGTGCTTAATCCAAGTGTATCTGAAACCATTTTTCTTAGCAGTTTCCCGAACCTCACGAAATAAATTTTTTCTTTTTAAAGTCAGGTGCTCATTAAAATATAACTTGTGTATAGTTCCGGGCATTTGCAGTTTTTCTGTTGTTAAACTTTTCTCTTTGCGAGCTGCTGAAAGAAAGCTATCGCGTAACATCCGACTCGCAAACTTAACAATAACATTCTTAGGGCGCCCACTTTTAGGATTAAACTGAGGTACACGATGAATTGCGATGACGTCGTATTTATTAATTGGGTGTTTGACGGCAGCAGCTACGTTTTCTATAATCGAAATTAAATTTTCATTTCGTTTTTCTGGAAGATTAACAATTTCAATGTTGCACTGGCGTGAATTAAGCTCTAAAGTATCAAGCTTGTTTCCTACCTCCATAATCAGATCGTCTTTGTTTTGGGACGATTTATATATTTTTTCTAATTCAAATAATCGACTGCGGATCTCTTCGGTTTGGGTTTTTATTTCGTCGTATTTGTCATTAATAAATTGTATTGAAGTCTTCAATTCTTCGAAATCTTCAATTAACTTGGTTATTTTATTATTCTGTTTGTCGAAGAACTCCTTCATTGATGCCATTATCTTCTCTTGGAAAGAATGAAATTCATTGCGTAGATCCAACACATTTTGATCACCTTTACAGAACGTCACTATCAGAAAACTGTCTATACTCATTTCACCACAAGGAGATCTATTAGAATACCGGGTAGGGCTGTTTTGTTTGGTGCGAGCGTTATTAAGAGACATGACAATAAGTTAGTAATAGTGATTGCTTTCTCTGTATATATATTGCTCTGTGCAATAAGTAGCCGAACTGTGCCAACACTATTCGTAATCGTATGTACACGATGAGTCACTAGGCGATCGCAGCAAACACGAATGCACTGACTGACACACGTCCGGATTGCAGTAGAGCGCGGAGCTAACTGAAAAAAGTTCTGTAAAATGAGATGCTAAAATATTTTTATTACATACGTGCACTTAGTTCGGTGCATCTGCATTTTATTTATTTCTTTTTCATGGCTATAGTTAATAACTTCTCCTAAATGATCAACTGTTCGTATACCTACTTGTATGCATTGCTGTAAATAATGCAACTCTGGCTTTATCTTTCTTTTTATTATCAGTAGACTCCATTTTGAATGTCAGCTTAGGTTGTTTGGTGATAACCTACAAACAAATAATGAAATATATAAGAAAAATTTAAATGCAACCTCATTAATTGAGACATAGCTATAATTTACCTTTCTATTTTGTTGGTGCTTTTTCAAAAGAGCATGTGTTTTTAAATCTCCGTAGTGACTTCTTAATATCGTTCCACAAAACTTGCATTTTGCTACTTGGCCAGTGGTACTTTCAACTGCTTGAAGCCATTCTTTGAAATCGGGATCTTGAAGCCAAGAATCCCTAAATTTTTGGGAATATTGAGGTTTCGGCATAGCGTCGTATGAATAATATTTTCATTTAAAAATGTGTAATCGCAAAACGAAACAAAAACAAACAACAACGCACTGAATCCGAGTGACCGTGCGTGACCGAGTTCAAAAACATTGGACTAAGTATTGTAAAATGCTGTCAAATAGAATAGAAAGAGGAAATTATATCCTTCTCAACTATTTAGTATTCCGGAGAGCGAGATACAGATAGATCTCGCCCTTGCATTCCATCGTTTTTTATTAGTAGAATGCTTTCCAATCCAATGTCTATGGAAATGAATTGGTGTTTCCTGCGTAGTAAAATATACTCCTAAAAATATATATGTTTATATTTTGAAAGTATAAAATATGGCTAATTAGACGTTTGAAACGACTATTTATATGAAACGACTCGTTTCTTGTAATTTATGATAAAATTCCTAATCCGCTAAAAAACCACTAGCCACTAAAAGCAAAAAAATTGCCACTAAAAGGGGGTTCCAAACCACCAGATTTAGTGGAAAATCCACTAAGGTGGCAACACTGAGTCTCTGTCTACGTTTATTATAGTGTTCTGTGCGTTTATTACTCTTGTTAGGTCAGTAATCTATGTCTTAGTCCAAAGAGTATAGTAATATATACGGATGTTAGTCACAGATAGGCATGTCGATTCACTGCTTAAAAAAATCGATCTCTGAATCGATTTGAATCGAAGGTACTTGAATCGATTATCGATTAAATCGAGGAATAAAAGATCGATTTTCGATTAATCGCGACATTTTCAAACATGAAATTTCAAGAATTTTCGATATTTTTTCTTTAACTTCTAAACTGTTTTTTTTATTTATTTTTTAAATATAATATTAGTAATCTTATTGATTAACATTACTAATATTCCTTTTAACCACTCAAGCTTGAAGCGCTTGTGTTAGGAGTGGTTCGCACATACTCCACTCGATCCCTTTTTTTTACAAAGTGATTCCACGTAACACTTTTATTTGACATTTTAGGCTAAAAACAACAACAATACTTTAACAGAAGTGCAAACTACAACGTACATTTCTCGATAAATCTGTTTCAATCTAATAACTCACTATTTATCATATCGAAATGAATGCTACATGAACACAATACTGGTTACTTCCTTACTATAAACCTCTATAAACTTCAACGTACGGTATAATATTTATTGACAGTATCTAGGTAAGTATTTATTTACAGTAGGTAGGTAAATTACTCTGTCTGTACTTACAGCTCATAGTATATACGATAATGAATAATGTAAATTCACAAGTTCACAGTTCAAACAGGTTCACAGCTGTAATATTATATTATAGTACAGGAGGTGAAATATAATATGAAAATATCGCTCGGTCGATCGAAAAAATGTTTATAGTTTGGGATGTAATATATATTACATCTCAGTGGAAACGGTTCCATTTAAAAGTACGGTGAGCGTTATTAATTTATATCTCGAGATGTAATATAAATTACATTATATCCCTTAGTGGAAAGTGGGCTTAAGAATTTTAGAAATGAAAATGAAATGACAACTTTTCGATATTGTTGGATGAAGAGCAAAAAATTAAAAAACTGTGGTATCTTACCCCATCCAGTTTGGGAATTTTAGCTAGTTCTTGTATCAAATGAATCGGTCCGATTCAAGAGGTTTTTAGATCGATTCAGTGAATCGATGCGGTGCTTCGAATCGATCTAAAAAATCGATAATTTTACTCCAAAGAATCGATTTTTCGATTAATCGATTTTAAATCGACATGCCTAGTCACAGATGTAGAGTATATTTATACCTGGGTGTTAGTGCTTGTTAGTTTGTGATTGCAACCTATTTTTAATTTAGGAAGAAGGAATGGCCTTTAGTGAAATTTGTAGAATTTGTTTAAGCGTAAATGTACGCATGTGTGTACTAAAGAAGACTGGACTCCAAAATATGTATAAAGCATTGACGAACAGTTTTGTAAGTTTGATAATACTTCTTAATTGCAAATTGAAGTTGCGGTAATTTGTTGTTATCGCTGGAGATGGATTATTTAAACTTGCCTGATATTAAATGCGATAGATCGGGGCCAAGCTAAGGTGCAGCGTTAAATAAACAGTGGCGAAGCTAGGGCTCCAAACTAGGGCAAGCCCAAGATATGGTTTTGTTGTTTTTAGCAGTTTCATAAAAATACACCAATCTTGAGCTGTCTCCACTCTTTAGTTTCATATTCAGTGCTGACAAGGACGTGTTTAACAAAGCACACAGAAAGCATACTACCGCTAGATAGATTGTATGACATAATATGCAATTGCACACCTTCGGTGGTTTTGAAAAGAGCCGTTTGGGTTTGCTTGAAATATTTACAAACAATACAATATATGAACAAAAGAAAAGCATGAACAAAATACAAACAAACGGTTGAAATTTAGAATCGTTTGGCAGGAATTTGTGGGAGTAAGGTGTTTTATTAGGTAGAGGTTTGGTCCCCGATTATAATAATACCACTCCCATTAAAAGGTAATGCACCGTTCTTGAGAAAAATCAAAAAGAAAATCCTATAGAACTAACCTCAAAATCATAACTCAAAATGAATTAAAGGGATGGGAGGTAGTGGAGAGGGAGGCGGGGGAGTTGTAGAGTCGCCCCCCACTTCCACATCATGCCGGACATGCTTAGTTTTTTTTATAAATTTTTAAAAATCTAATTTTGAGGTTATGTTTTTGTTATGTTTTTGACTATAATCCTGATTTATGGGGGAGAGAGTTAGAGGAGGGAAGCACCACGTAGCTCAGTCGAGGAAAGGCCGGTCGATGGAGCCCCGCTTCGCAGGGCTCCTACTTCTGAGCGGTTTACAAACAAATAACCAAGAAGGGAATGGCGGGGTCGAGTGAGCAAGCGAAGCGAGCGAATAGACCCCGCCATTCCCTTCTTGGTTATTTGTATCCCCTTCTTATTGTTATCCCCTTCTAACCTAACCTGTACGAGTCGGGGGGCCCTAAGTCCCGCTCACTTCGCTCGCTCTTGCACTCAACAATACGTCAAAATATTAGCTTTTATAATTACTTTAAATTATGAACATAGTAATATATAATACTATAATAACAACACATACAGGTTGCACAGGTGCCTGCGATTTGCTACGACGGGCGGGGGCTGCTCTCCCTCCGCACCTATGGCTTTACAAAAACACTTTAGGAGTAGGGCAGACAAGACTACATGGATTCGGGCCGTGCTGATTTAATTTTAGTACAGATTCCATATCTATAGTCAAGTTGCCTTTGCTCCCGCCACAGACACAAAATTCTGTATGCTATCCTGCTTTCACAGTAATATCGTATAATTTTTTCTCAGAAAGTCTAGAACCCAGAGCCGTAAATTCAGTTAATAAAAAAAAGTATCACTTTTCATACTTTACATATTATGGTTATAACAGTTTTTATTTATTTTTTCTATAATGGTGCATTACCTTTTAATGTGAGTGGTATTATTATAATCGGGGACCAAACCTCTACCAAATAAAACACCTTACTCCGCCAAATTCCTGCCAAACGATTGTAATTCCAACCCGTTATATGCATAAAAGAACAGATTACGTTATAATGAGAAGTTAAATCTTTGCTAATTTTTTACCATAAAATAATGACTATTTATTATAATTATAATTATTCATTTTCAATTCATAATAAACCATACAAAATGATATTTTTAAACTCATATATCACTATAAATTAGCTGATAGCGTATTTGTGCCATCTAGCGTAATCTTTAGGTATCATCGTGAGAATCAACCAGTTTTCGTTCGATAAAATGACTTTACCTATAGAATTAAGTAGATTGCGCCATTAAAATTTTATATACTGGAAAGTAGACAGAGAAACCTAACTGGAAATAATTAAAGGGAGTACTATTCTTTAAAAACCTCAATACATTCTTCTGTATTCTTTTGATTTATTTAATTAAAATTTGGGCTTCACATTAAAAAAGATTGTAACACTTATTTCCTCTAAAATTAACCTAGGTCTCATACTTTATGCTGCTGTTCAAATTGATATTTTTAATTCATATGGTAATATAAATATTGAGTTTGGTAATTAAACCTTTAAATACGCCTAACTTAATTAAAGAGTCCTGTACCTATATTTAAAGTATGAAGAATTGTTTATTGAATATTAAATTTCATTTTTAAAGATTTTTACCTTTTCCTCCTCCCATTTTCACTGAAAATCTTCGAAAAAGCATAAATTTTTAACAAACACAACAAAAACAAACATAAACATTGAAATGTGAAGTGAACTTGCATACAAGGGGCCCGCAACCACTTCGCTAGTCGCTAACGCACTCATAAAGTAATAATTGCTATATAAACATTTCGTAGTTATATTTCATTATAGAATATTTTGCCATAGGTTAGAAAGAGAGTGATCGTCTTCTCGAAAGCCCCGTAAAAAGCCCACGCGAGCGAGGGAGACAACTAATTGCTCTATTAAAACTCACTTTTTATGACAGCAGCAGTATTGCCACAGAGTACCTTTGTATAAACGTATCGCTAAGGCAATACGAGGTCATCGGTCGACATGTGTCGAACAGTGGAGTGCGCGAGGAAAATTGAAATAATTTGAAACAGTTTATGAGTTATTTTATTAGTTTATATTATTGATTGATTCAGTTTTAATAAGGCAAGCCTTTCGCCACTGTAAATAAACAGACAAATACACCTAGAATCTGAAAAACAATAATTAGCTTGGAATCCTGCGTCGCACAAAAATCACTACTATCATTGAAGTGAAGAAATATCCACGTATTAAAAGTGACATCGAGGTGTAGTGCTTGCAACATGCGTTGGAGCCTGTGGGCTCAAACTTACCAAGTCTGTATCTCCTTCCACGCGACCAGCACTGCTGCATACATTTTGTTGCGGTGTCTGCTATAGTATATGTTACTTCAATGAATGTTATTGCGAATTCCTTCCAAGAAATTAACATCCACCTTAGTCTGGTGTTTCACCCACTTAAATCAGTTCTATCCG